TAAAATTTGTATAGGAATTAGAATATTTATATCCACTTTTTATAATAATATTAGACGAGATGAAGGGCTGAAATTAGAAGATAATATTTTCGATATTTATTTCGATTCGAATTGGAAATTGTAGAAAGCAAAGTACATGCAAAATACAATTATGGTTATATACATAATGTGTAGGAAATTGATAAGAAGTAGATGACAATGCTGATTGCAGCAAGGAAGACAGGCGGCGAGAGGTTGAAAGGGGTATAGTTGGAAGGTTAGGCTGACAGCATATGGAAAATGAATTGCCGTTGAACGAAATTGGGAGGACGCAATTACATTCCGATTGTCTCATCATTTGAATAGTTCCTCATCGATTGTATTGAATCTTAATTGGCTGTAGAGCTCGAAGTCTCGAAAGTACGATTGTATAGCGGATTACAGTAAAGAGAAAGGGAGAAATAGAGACAGAAAGAGAGAGAGAGATAGAGAGAGAGAGAGAGAGAGAGAAAGAGAGAGAGAGAGAGAGAGAGAGAGAGAGAAATAGAGAGAGAGTGAATTTTCCTTCCTCGTTTGTGCAAGAAGCCTGTTCGAACAGCGATAATGCTGTTTTGCGAAACGAGACGGATATTCTAAGAAGAGAACGTCTTAAACAATTATTTCATTAGTACCTTTATTCCTTTTCAATTCTTCTTATTTTCTTACCAAGGTACTGAGTACACAATTCAATGAAAATCCTTTTTCTTTAAACCTATCTATGTAGTTTTCGATTTTATTTGATTTGTTTCGATCTATTCCCCACCAACATTTTTCTCTTTTCATTATTTTGGTTTAGTTTCTTGAAAGTAGCGATTCGATTGAAGGTAATTCTAACAGCTTTTGCTCGATTTTCAAGAAAGACAATCTTGAATTGAGGGATAAAGAGGAAAAGGATAAGTATTTTTTAAATTACTATTAAAAAAAGTTTTTATTTTTTACATTAGAAAGGATATTATTTCTTATTTAACTTGTGTGTGACGTGTCCTCACATTGTACGACTCTTGTAGGGGTCACGACCGTTCATACGGGGATCTTTACATGGACGATCCGTATATGGGTCGTTAGTAATGGTAAATGGTTAAGTAAAATTATAATTATAACTCCAGAGATGCGCATTTGTAGGGGTGAAATAAGTTTTCACTTGTGTTGCATTTATTTATTATGTAGGTTCCTTTTTTGTTAATTTTGTGGAGAGGAAAGATAGAGAGAATAAGAGAGAGTGATTTAATTAAATGGTAAAAAATGATTGAAAGGAAGGAAGAGTAGTTGAATACATTAGTGTAATACAAATCGATTAAATGTMCCCGCCATCAACTCGTGCTCGTTAATTTAGTTGCAAGTTTCATTACCGTAGAAGAGCTATTACGGATAATGTTATCACTTTCTCGTAATGAATACGAACTTTCAAGGAAATGTATAGTCAACGTTATCATACATATTGAATTGTTTATTAATCATTTGAATATTCTTTTGTATCTTTTATTTCATTCTTTTCATTTTTTTTTAATTTATAACAAGGAACATACACAGATATACCCTGACGTTAAAGGTTGGAATGATAAACTTTGAGGGGGAATTTTATCAGCAAACATCGAAATGCGAGCTAAGTAAAGTAGAAAATCTTTGTCGAAAGTTACAACATCTCTCTCTCTCTCTTTTTGTCTTTCTCTTTTCATGATTTTACCACATCAAAGACAAAGAGAGAACATGTCCTTCACATTTCAAATCTTTCATAATCTGGAAAGTTTTGGTCGAACGACTTGTGCTCAACTGTTACTCAAAGTGGAAGCCAATAGGGCCGTTTAATTGTTCGAAGAGGAAAATTTCACCAAAGCGATAACCGAGATGTCAATCTAGCCTGAAGGTACGACGAGGAAGGAAGGTAGGTTGGTAGATATAAGGATAGCGGTGGTGATAGTGGGAGAGGTTGGGGGAAGGAAGCTGAGATTTCAGGGATGGTAAGCAAAAGGGTGGAGAAGAAAAGAAGAAGATGATGAAGAAGAAGAAGATGAAGAAGAAGAAGATGATGAAGAAGAAGAAGAAGTAGAAGAAGAAGGTGGTGCGGTTTTGCCGTTCTCGCAAGAGCCTGGTTTACCTTCCTTACTGCCGCTGGAGGGTATCAACGGACAAGCTTAGACACAATGCCCATCAAACCTACGAACCTTCAAACTTACATCAACGAAATGAAAGCTTTTACTATCCCTTTTCTTCTCTTCCCTTCTTTTTCTTCTTCTCTTTCTTCTTCCTTTTGCTTCTCGTATTTCTCTTCATCCTTCTTCTCATCTTTCATTTCTATCTTACTTGAAGCTCCCTTCGATTCTCCAACTTGCTACCCCTTTCTCGATGAGAAAGAGAATGAGAATGAAAGAGAGAGGGAGTTATGAGGGAGGTAGCAGTTACTCTTCTTCGTCCTTGCCTTCTGTTCAAGGACGATATTCTGATAATAGAAGCTGGATCTATTGCTTTGAAACTTTCGATAAGCCGAAGCCAGAGTTTAGGCATTACTAATAGCTAACTTTTCCTACCACCTTTAGAGGTATATGGTTATGATATAAAGCCTGTTTTATCTAATTCCTTTATCTTTACTATATTTTCTTTTCATTTATATCATATAAAAAAAAAGATAATTTATATTTTTATTCTTTACCCCAAAGTTTATAGAAATTATTTTCTTTTTTTTTGGATTTAATTAATGTCTTGTACAGATTTTGTTTTGGACGATTATTTCTGATTATTATAATAATAATTATTATTATTTAATTAATTATATTTCAGTTACACAGGTTTTTATTTGAACGATCGATTAGAATTATTTATTTAATTAGATGCAACATTCTATATATTTGTTTTTTTAAATAACAGAATATGTTTATAGGTATTGGTAACATTTGAAATTTCTTAACAATCCAATCTCAATAAATTCAAATCCTAACGATAATATAATTACTTTATATGCTTTAATAAGACTTTGGTAAACAAGCGTATAATTTTCGACATATCTTCAAGAATCTTTTTAAGTTAGACTGTATTATCTTCCTTTTATCGTCATATAATCTCCTTTTCGTGAACGTAGCTATCACTCGATTGGGAGAAATCTCGGAAAGAATTTTGTCGATCGTGGATTTTTCTTTTGGAAATTGTTCCTTATCGTTTTTCCAATATTACGTGTCAAAGATTTTACGGGGTGTTAAGAATTTGTATCTGTTATAGATTAAAATTGTCGTTTACTTACGAATCAAATAGAAGAATTGACTAAAATATTAGATCACATAAATAACTTTAGGCGATACTGTGATACGAATTTAGAGTAAATACTTTACCAAATCTTTAGAATCTTTTAAAATACGTATTAAATATTTTATTCAACTTTTTTTTGGGAAGCTTAAAAAAAGACAAAAAATATAGACAAACATATCAATGGAAAGTAAAGAAAATCTGAATGAAAAATATTAGCTCGGTCACCAGGATTCCTTTACATTTTCTTATTCAAACAAAAAGAAATTCACTTGGTGGTTCCCTGTGTGGTCAGCAAATGGAAAAGTCAAAGAGCGTTTTCCAGGAGCCCAGGGACTTTAGTATACATCCAATCAACTAAATACATTCTACACATTCTTTCTTAGTATTAGATGTTTAAAAGATAACAAAAGGTACACATTCCAATGGAAAGCCGACAAAATGATATTAACTTAAATATTTAGACTCCTCTAATATTATGTTATTTAAACAAAAACATACCATGCATACGAACCATCCAATCTTTTTTAATCTACAAGTTCAGGAGATTGAAAACAAAATAGGCATACAAAGAAAGCCTAGAAAATTTGATCGAAAAATGATAAAAGGTTGGACATATTTGGATTCCTTCAACATTATCTTATTCAAACGAAAAGATACCTAAATTTCCAAATCAAAATAAGATTACTGAATGGTTAGCAATATGGTCAGTAGATGGAAAAGTCAGAGAGTGTCACGTGTAGTGGAAGGATCGGTTTCTTTTTTCGCAAGAAAGTTGAAGGAATCCATGGTCCGTAGGTATAGGTTGAGAAATATCTACCAGCAAAGGGAGAACGCGGAGAAGAAGAATAAGGGTGAAGCAGCAGTAGAAGCAGAAGCAGAAGCAGAAGCAGAAGCAGAAGCAGAAGCAGAAGTAGAAGAAGAATAAGAAGAGAAGGAAGAAAGGTAGGGGAAGGGTTCCAAAGGAAAAGTCGAAAATCTTAATTCGAGGAGCCGGCGCCGCCTACGGGATGCGATGGGCGGTGACTGGTAGACTCCGATTGGCTTGCTCGAGGGTTAGGGGTGAAAGGGTAGTTTCAGTCGTTGGAAAGTGGGGGTTGGAGATATGCGCGTGGAACGTTGAAACGGCGTGTGCAGCATCGAGACGCAACTCGACTCGAGGACGATTTCTAGTTGTGGCTCCCCCCTCGAGGGCGAGGACGCCAGTCGACGCCGGGCGTCCCGAGCGTGCAGTAGCACATCCACGAACGAGACGCGTTCTATTATTACGAGAATAACTCCGTTCTTACTGATTCACTCTCGAGAGTATCCGGGAGTCGCGTTTTAAATTAAATCAACATTTTATCAATTTTCTTCAGATATCTCTCTTCATAAAAAAAAAAACAACAACAAAAATTTATTCCGTTAGTTAATTGCTCCTAAATAAAATTTGCATAATATTTTAACGATAAAAAAACTGCGTTGTTAATTTTTCGAACGGTTTCATTCTGTCGAGATTTTTGTATTGATCGATCGATCGATCAATCTTCGAATTTTTACGTTTGACATTTAGGTGATTTGTCAATCCTAATCCGTTCTCGTTAGGATGACTGGGACGGACGTGATCTTTTACAAAATTGTGTGAAAATTGACGAAATTGAGATTGGCTAAAATATAAAAGAGAAGTCGTTCGCGGTGAGACGAATCTTTTTATTTTTTTCCTTTTTTATTCGTGTGACGATAAAAGAGAATAATAATAATAATAATAATAATAATAAGAAGAAGAAGAAGAAGAAGAAGAAGAAGAAGAAGAAGAAGAAAAGAAAAATACGATAAATCTTACGAGGATAAATTATCGTAGTATTGAGAGTATTAGAAAAATGGAAGCTAGTTATTATTATTATTACGGGGATCGTACTTCCATGAGTAAACGATTATGCACGAAGTTTCATGAGAGGAGACGCGAAAGGTCGAGGATCGAGAGAAGTGAAAAGAAGAAGAGAGCTTTCACCTTAGATCGGATCGATGATAAAAGAGAGTTCGCGATGCCTGCTGAACTGAGAGACTTCGATGGTGAACGGCTGGCGTGTGAATGCACACCTCCGAAATCTTCGGTTCTAAAGAGTGATGACGCGTACGCGGGTGATGACAACAATGATTTCAACATTTCTTCATCATCATCATCATTATCATCATCATCATCATCAACAACATTAGCATCGTCTTCTAATTCTTCTTCTATTACTTCTAATGAATCGTTTTCATCGGTTCGTCGTATAAAGAAGAAAAGTAGTTTGCCGATTTATATTCTACCAAGGATGGCCATACTGTTTGTCTTATTCGTTTGCGTTCTCATGCAGGATGGAAAGTCAACCTATGCTGCCTTTACTACCGGTAAATTTTTTTCCTTTATTTACTTTTATGTCCAAGTGTCTTTTTCCATTCGAACATTTGGTCTCTTGTTTGTATATGCTCGTAGAACAAACACTTCTTCGATGGTAAAAATCTCGCCGATTTATATGCGAATTCTAACACAAATACATATTTAATAAAAAGAAAAAAAAATAGAAAAATGGGTAAGATGAGAAGAAACAAAAAATTATCACCGAGAGAATAGGTATTGTTTTTCCTGTTTACAAATCATATCTGACCGTTCCACCCATTTTTATATCCTCACAATTTTCAATACTATTCGTTCTTTTACTTTTATCTTTTACCTTCAATCGGCACGCGCGTATGCTAATAGCTATTTAGAGAGTGTTAACATTCGAAATTACTTTGTTAATTCAACCGGATCTCGATTAATTACCGTATGCCAAATGTGGAATATCGATCGGACTATCGTAATATGAATTATCTTACCACGTTGAATAATCAGATCGATGAAGAAATTTCTTTTATTTGTTTATCGTATTTTCAAAGCATCATATTATTCGCGATCGATTTGAACGATAAATAATTCGTTTGTTTTGTTAATTTGATTAAGAAAAAAATTGCTTAATATTAATCTCGCTTCATTAATCAACCTTTAAGATTAATACAACCAATTTCGTTCTATGTATTATTATTATACTGTTATATATTATATTATTATTATATTATACTATTATATACTACTGGTTATATATATTATTTCGGTGGCTTCGTATGTTTGTTAACCGATCGAAAAGTAACGATTTCCCTTAGGAAATTCCACTAGTCGATAGAAACATTTAAAACAGTTGATATTTCTAACATTAAATCGTAGAATTGTTCGAGGAAATAATGAAATATCGTATTATCGTGATCATTTTCGCACATCGTGAACAAACAGGTCCGGGGGAATCACCTGACCTGGTGATAACGGTCAATCAACGTTTACGTATATCGCGAAGTTTATCACGATAGGCTTACAATGTACTCATAGCCTTCCCATCCCTTCTTCCTTTCTCTCAACTACGCTTTTCCTCCACCCCTTCTATTTTCCTCGTGCTTGTTCACAACCCCTCTTCACTTTTCACCCTCGAGCGTGCTGCGAACCCCCTTCATCCCCCAAGCACGCACGCACGCAGGGGCGTAGATCGCGTGCGACAAGCGTGACCGTTTGTAGGACGATTTAAGCGCGCTCCATACGATCAGCACGTAATCTCGGATTTAATTTCGGTCACGTTAAATCGGAAGAGTGACAAGCCTGTTCCGCGAGGTGTTCGTTGGGAATTACTGTGTTTCTCGTTAATCATTTTCTATGAATTCCTCTCTCTCTCTCTCTCTCTCTCTCTCTCTTTCTTTCTTTCTCTGTGTGTACATGTGCATATGATTTATAATTGTATATTATATACGTATATGTAGAATTATATGTTACATATGTATGCGTGCGTGTGCGTGTGTTTGTGGGCGTTTACCCATTAATGCATAATACATTATTTGGAGTATTTCATCGGATAATTAGCACGGTTGAAAGATTGAATTATTCGCGTGGCCGATTTATCAGTACATCTGATCACTCCTATTTAATATTGGCAAAATTGCATTCTCCTGGGAAAACTCATGTTGTGTTCCCTTACATTTCCATTTTTTTAATCCCCTCGATCACTCGTAACAATAATCCTAATAATATTTCTAAATTAAAAATTAATCGAGTTCATTATTAAAGCAATTTATTTATTCGTCAAATACTTTAGTACATCGGATCTTATTCTTAGAATTTTGTATAATATATTTTGAGTTATATATTGAACAAATAACACATTTAGATTCCTACGTAGTAGGAGGTATATCGAAAAAATAAAAGATCATAAGACACGTCATAAATACGTTTAGATCAATAACCTGGAGATATATCCTTAACGACTTATTCTCAAAACGATTTTATATTGACGATCTTAGTAAAGTAGCGTTGGAACGTTAAGAGAGATGAGCGGTCTCGCAACAAGCTCCATGTTTCTCCATGCATAATTCATAAGCGAGGCGTTACCACGAAACCTCGGGGGCGATAAATATTTTTTTTTCTTTCGCGGTTGAAGGAAAAGCGCATGCAAATACGATGCTGCTATCGGAGTCTTGTTAAAACATCTAACGATTCGTTCTAATTTTTCTTACGTTACCCTTTCTTCCACAACCCCCCCCCCAACCCGCTCCACCCCATTTTTCTTCTTCCACTGCAATAAACACTTCCTAATTAAATTGTTCTTCTTCTTTTTTCTTTTTTATACAAACAAATTCGTAGAAAAATTTGGATGCTCGTCATGTCATATTGATCTATAAAACATACTTTCGATGTATTTTTCGCGTGCGTATTCTACAAGATGGTAAAAAGAAAAGGAATAGAAAACAATGTGTGCGCATTAAGCGACCTCATTTTCCCTCTTTTCTTTCTCTCTCTCTCTCTCTCTCTCTCTCTCTCTCTCTCTGTTTTTCTCTTCGCTCGTGATTTCCAAATCCAATCGTTTTTACGAGTTTCCGTCGCACAGATTGCCGGTCTTGAAATCGGGATGGAGAGGCTATTATCATTCCGGTTGGCGGTCGCCGTTCGTGGATGTGAATTTTATACGGTGGTCATTCAATTCGCATGTTACTGCCCCCGAGTGCAATCTCTTAGGGACCTTTGCTGGATAAGGTATAGATAGACAGATAGATGGATACCAAAAGAAAGAAAGATAGAAACAGAGAGAAAGATATAAAGGAAGATAAAGAAAAAGATGGAAAGATAGAAAGATAGAAAGATAGAATGTAGAAGACACCCCTCTCATTGTCTTTATATCAGATCCCAGTTTGAACGGGGAATAAAACAGCTTTAGTCGCTCACCGACGATTGCCTTTACCAGCTTACACGTATACAATTTCTATACATATGTATTATGTATATACGCGAGGGAACCTCTCCCTCTCTCTACATATATATATATAAATATATATGTATGTGTGTGTGAGTCAGTAATCTCGATAACGGCGCCACGAGGTTATCTAATTTCGATGAATTATTAAAGGAGCCCGATAACAACAGTCGCCTCGCGAATTGGCCCTCTGCGCGCATTTTGATCCCAGAATTTGCCCTCCTCCTCCTCCTCCTCCTCCTCCTCCTCTTTCCCTTCCCTCCTCTCTCTTCTCTTCCCTTCTCTTCTTCATTCTCGTTCTTCCTTCTCCTCTTCGTCGTTATTGTCGTGGTAGTGGTGGTGGTATATTGGTACCCTCACAGTCGTTCCACTTCGAACCCTCTACCTCCTCCTCCTCCCTTGACTATCCAACGAATGTTCCTTTTACCCTCCTTCGATTCGACGACCATTCTACTCTCTCTCTCTCTCTCTGTCTCTCTTTCAATGGAATTATCTCATAGCCTAAGGGTGGCCATCTGTTTCGAGTGGGGGACTCGAAAGACCGGAGGCACCCCTAATTAGGTAGAACGACAGTTGTAAGCGTGCTAAATCTAATATCTAATGTTACTCTCGCGAGGTTTCCACGCAGTACGTGTCGAAAATACGAAAGATTTCCATACGCTGTTATTCCAGAGAATGAGAGAGAGAAAGAGAGAGAGAGAGAGAGAGAGAGAGAGAGAGAGAAAAAAAAGATAGTGGCTTTTCTACCCTCACCAAAGTATCGTTAAAGGGGCTAAACCGTGGATAATTTTGTACGCGGTGGGTGGTACTTGAAAGTGGTTATAAAAAAAGAAACAAATTTTCCTTCCTCGTAATCACCAGAACGAATTTTTGTGGCGTCACGTGTTAAAGTTCCTGTCTTTCTTTTTCTTTCTTTCATTTTGCTTTATTTTCTTGCTTTTTTTTTTCGTTTGAAGAGAGAGAGAATGAGGGTTCGTTAGACTTACTTTTACTTTTTTGCCAAAGAGAGAAAAGGAAAAAGATAAGTTTGTTCTCCCCTATTATGTTTTTTTTGTTATTATTAAAAGGATTATTTTCTTTTTTCTTTCTTTTTTTTCTCGTCGAGGGAAGCTACATGCAAGTAAGAGTTTTTATGAAAGGTTTTTTTTGTTATTTCCTTTTTTTTCCTTTCTCTCTTCTTGTTCCATCCTTTCTCGTAATTGCATCGAAGAAGGGGTGGTCTTACAAGCTTCAATGTTACCAATTGCATACAGTGTCGATTTAGTCACGTGAAATTCGTTCGAACATTGCACAAAGAGGGTTGTGAAATATGCTGTCTGATACTCGTGACGATTGCTCGTAGGACAATACTTCTAATTTTTACACTGGATGGAACATTTCTAATGTCATTTCTTTTTTCACTCGAGGTAGGAAACGACATATATTTTCTTTTAAAATAATTGTAGTTTGTTTTTCTTTTTCATTTTTTTAATAAATTCCAAAGAAGCAGAATTAATAATTATTTAATGAAACAAATTGTTTGTATTGAAATTTGATAAGAAAAATTCATTTTCCTTAAGATTTATATGAACTATGAAACCGCAGATAAATACAAATTTACTAGGGATTTTTCTTTAAAAAGTTTATGAAACAAATCAATATTTGATTACAAAATGAAAATTTCCGTTTTATAATTTAGCCAAGAACGTCGTCGGTTCCGCTCGGTTCGGCAAATGCACATCAATGTGGTTACGAGATGAGTGTAAATGTTCACGTGTATATTGCTCGCGGGTATGGTAAACGTGTATACGCATGAAACAACGAACTAGACGCCGGGGAGCAGAAAATACATTTACCTATACATATACATTTACATCTATATACTGTAGTAACCATGCTCTTCGAAAATATATAGTGCTTGAATTAGCATAAAAAAGATAAAAAAGAAAAGAGAGAGAAAGAGAGATACAAAAATAAAGAGAGAGAATTTAATGTATTATACATTGTATTCGTTACTATAGGAACAAAATTGATTTCTGTATGTTAATTAAAATACTAAATAGATGATAAACGAAAAAAAAAATCAAAGAAACCGAAGCAATA